TTTTTTTTTTTTTTTTTTTTTTTTTTTTTTTTTTTTTTTTTTTTTTTTTTTTTTTTGTAGCATTCTTTATCACTTCATAACCCAATGATGTGAACTGCGAATAACGTTGCAGAAAAAAATTAAAAAAAATCCTACCTGTAGCCCGCATAAAAAGATGTATGCAAAAATAATTTTTCCAGACTTAAAAATGACCTTACTGTAAAAATCGTGCTAGCATATAGTTGTTAATAATTACATGCTTTGGAGGCACCAAAAATTCCGAGTTGCACTCGAAAAAAGACTATCTCTTCATCGATCACGTCCCTATCTACCATGAAACAACATTAAATTTAATCTAAAAATGTTTTTCCAACAAGAAACGATAATTCCAGCGTAAGTAAATAAATATAATCAATAAATAAAAAGAAAAAAAACGTCAAATCAAATAATCCCGCATATCAAGCTGGCTTTTATCAAGATGCACAAGTTTCGAGAGGCGATACCTCCCCTCCCGGATTCTCTTTTTCAACCCTCAGGGTAACGAGCTGCTGATAAATTTCTACCATTGAAGCGACTTTCCGCTCCATTAGAGTGAAAAGTTACTCGATTATAAATACAGCCTGATAAGCCTTATCATTTTCATCCGAATCCCGCCCACTTTGTCCAACACTTTTCCGATTTATCTCGTTTTTGTCAAAAAATAGCCACAATCTATCCTTACATCTAGTATACTGTCTCGTAAAACTAAAGGGTAAATCTACCTTTCTCTGATTGAAAAAAAAAAAAAAAAAAAAAAAAAAAAAAAAAAAACAACAACAACAACAACAACAACTTACCTTGGTAAAAAGGAAGGTTGTTTGTACTTCTGGGCGCTCTTAAGATTTCTCTCCCTGAGCCTTTCGCACTGCGACAGCACCGGACACACGGTGTCGCAGACGAGTTTACTCGAGAAGTCGTTGTAGCCACTGCTACCACAGCCAGGCTTCCTCCGACACTCATTGAGCTCCGCGTCAAAGTACCATCTTTCCGTGCTATTAGCCACATTCTCCTTGCACGGCGCTGTCCTTCTCGGAGCCTCGAAGCAAACTTCTCGTGGTTTTGGACAGCAGACCGCGTACTCGTCCAGAGGCGAAAGCTCACATTTATGGGTCGAGGGGCAGCTTTGGCCGTGAGGTCCACATGTGGCTGGACTGCCGTCTTCGACCCTCAATGGCGAGCCGTTCGGACAGGGGTTGTCTTTTTTCGGGAGACACACCGGTACTGGAGGACAGGGTGGTGCACTGCACGCCACCTCAACCATTCTGTTGGAGATAATACATTTGTAACTGGTTAATAGACTTATCGTATAGCTATTGTTATTTTTGAGTGCAACAAAATTTTTTGATGCGTTTTTCATTTACAACTGATAATTGAAAAAAAAATTTTTGTAGTGAGTATGATTTTATGTGTGGTAAATTAACTTATTATTAATTTTATTTTTATGTGATAAATTTCATGAGCTATTGGACAAGAAATTTCTGAATCCAAGTTCAAAAATTTTAGTGCACTTGTTGGTTATAAGATTTGTCATAGGAATTATGTAGAAATTGACATAAAAAAAATTAATACTGTTTTGATTTCCAAAATGTTTACGCTTTGATTTATGAATACTGTCACTTGTATAATTTACTGAACACAAATTGTAAAAGTACCTATTAAATCGTCAGTTTTTCCACCTACAATTAAGAACGAAATCAATGATTGCAAATTTGTTACTCAGTTACGTAACAAATGACGAATAGTTACGACAGATGGACTGATTAAACATTTATATAGTCCTTATGAATACAAAGGTTATATCGTTTAAAGAGTATTTTAGGAGGCAGCAGATTTGGTCGACTTTTGTATTTCATACATTTTAAAACGCTACATTACCAATGTAGTTAATGATTAAACGCGCCACCTGATTGCATCATGAGTAATTCACGACTGAAGGATATAGTTCCAAACCTAGATAACCGATGACAGTTATCTGTATAAGGCAAGAGGGGTTATTCTAATAGGGATTCCTATTAAGTGTAAATGTTAAAACTATAAATAGTTGATTAAATCTAGTTTATTGCGTTTATCGTTTCATCGACTCTTATGCTTATAAAAGGTTTTAAATTAGCTAAGAAGTGAGCACGACAATTTTTTTTTGAAAATTAGTGATTTGTAAGAATTACTTATGATTTTGTATTAAAAAAATATAATTATTGGCAGTTTATAAATAAAAATAGTATGAAAATGAAATATGATATCTCTACAGTTATAAACTGCCAATGGGAGTTTTCTCATACTACGCAAGGTGAATGATATGGTATAATACTAACGTTTTACACAACTTAACTTAAAAAATAAGAATAAGGAGCCACTTTTAACTCGTTAAAAATTTTATGCCACGCTAATTATTTTTTTAAAACTCACACAAGACAATCGACCACAAATCATTTGCAAATAAACTTCATCTTTCCGAATCTTGATTGATATTTGCTGGGGAGCTTAAACCATCTCTCGTATAATCTGGATTTAGTATATATAAAACGAATGAGGTAATCGGACATCTAATTTTTCAACATCATCTACGATTCGAGGAAATCGCTTCCCTGAACAGCTTATCTTCCGCTTGAAATGATAAAATTCTACCGTCGGTTTCACGTGCTTCCACTGTATTGCAAACGCCGTATATTATACCAGCTCGGGAGATTTTTCTTCGATGAAAATGTGCGTTATATTTTATTTTTATAAGGTATAAATCAAAATAATCCTAATCGGAATGAGTAGAGCGGATAAGCATTGAAAGCGTATTTTGATCGCTAAAGCTGGAGTTCTATATGTCTCGATTGGTATCAAGATACAAGGATATATCATTGTACTGTAATAGTAACCAAAATTCTTCAACACTTTATGAAAAATCTAAGTAATACCTATACAGATGAATAAACAAAGAAAAAAAAAACGAAAAAAGTAAGAATAAAAACATACCTGCAGGCCTCGTTCTCCCCACGGCAAGTGACAGTTTTGCAGGGGTCACGGCACGCGCAGGTGGGACATCCGGTGGCGGGATCGAGTTCGTAGCCGTCGTAGCACTCTAGACTGCAGTCATCAACATCGGGACAGTGCTGAGGGGCACCACAGCGCGGCACTAAGCCTTCGGTGACTCGGGTGCCAGGGGCCTCGCGGCCCTCCTCATCTACGCACCAGCACATGCTTGCGTGACACTGGACCGGTTCAAACTGGCCCTCCAAATCGCAACGAGGGAGGTAACTCAGCCGGGCTGGCTCGCCAGACTCACGAGCCGCGTGCTCAGCGACGGCACGTGCGTGCTGACAGGCTGTTGCCATTACTGGAGCCACGCACTGGGTGCCGCAACCTGTGGGGAGTCAAATAATGTAATGGCATGTGGAGGGGCCGTCATAGAACCAATATAGAAAAGCTGTGTGTGATGGAGAGCACGTAGGTACAGTTTACTAACTGCAAATCAAAGTGCCTTACGACTTATAATTACTGATGTCACAGAATCAGAGTTCCAAACAGTTCAATTTAATGTTTATTCATTTTATGTTTGATAAATCAAATAATTTGGTAATTTAATTAACCGAAACTACCCATTTAGTTACTAGATGCACACTCTACTAAGTAAATAATACCACCTAACAATATTAGGAGATGATGATTATTTATTTTGTAAAAAAGCATATTAGTAATTGTGTATGCGTATGGCACATTCATAAAAGTTTAATGAAAAAAATTAATTTTTATTGTTAGTGTATTGAAACCCATTACAATTCGAAATCTTATACTACAATTGAAAGTGCTATAATTTTGTATACGGATGTGCATTGATGGATACATTGAATTAGGTTTTCTCTCATACCCTAGAGTAAAAGACACGTTTTCTCCCTATTTTTCGGGGGAAAAGAGACACATTTTTCCCGCTGAAAGATGCGTTCCAAGCAATTGTGCAAACTGATATAAGTATACAATAAGTACTCTTGTATATGGGATCCATTCCGCAAACGTTGCCAATGTTATAGAATACAGCCATAACCTATGAAGGCTATCCTCCCACCAGAGGCACTCGCCATCACATGGGGTACATTAACGTGACTATTCATATACCAGCGATTTGTACCCCATGTGATGGCGAGTGCCTCTGGTGGCAGAATAGCCCTCATTAACTTTCGTATTCACACAAGTGTGTATTTGCAGATTGAATAACTTGAGATATTCTTTGGTCAGCAGCGTACCTTCCTACATCACAGTCTCCGTACATCGAGACTTCCAGGGTAAGAATCAAGCAACCGTAGCCAGCTCTTCATCATCAGGAATAAGAATAGCCCGGAAGTTTCACCACTGGCGCTTTTTAGGGCCATTATAAGTATTTACGTTCCCTACTTAAACATCAATTTCATCGGTTCTTTTTAGGATCCACCTAAGTGTAAACTACCTTGCCAACAAATACATTTTTATTACCATTTCCGGAAGCGATTCGTCGACTAAAAGACCATATTAACTTAAGACGGGCACTATTAAACCAAGCCAGCCATTCACTAGAAGACGTCACCTCCGGAGTTGTTCTTCGCAAGGCTGGAAAACCCGGTGACCGACGACCCTATATTACCCTCTCAACTCTAAGCATTCAACCATGAATCACTGATCCTCTCCAGGGTCTGCGCTGGGCAAACCTATAACAGCTATATAGGAAAAAAAACTTGAGCCAACGGGACAGCCTCCACTGGACAAGTATCACTAACCAATCTCCCCATCTAAGATCACCAAAACAACTGAATCTGCAACTAAAAAAGGTGCTTTAGACACCAACGTCTTCGACGTTATACCGGGAGACGTTGGGAA